AGAAATTTACATTAATTAGCCACAATAAAGAAGGAACGTTGCAATGCTACGTGCTACATTAACGACGTCTCTAGAGCAACTGAATGACTGTTCATATAGAAATCGCAGGTATTAGTCTCATACAACAACGCCCCCTATAGTTCGTTGCAATCGCGAATTGTAAAACAGTTAATAGGACTAGATCACCTTTCTAAATAACTTTATCTTAAAATGTAGTGTTAAATGTATCTTAAAATGTAACGAAGAATTACATTATAATAATAATAAAAAAAAACAATTCTCTTAGTTTTAAACTCTCGAATTAAAAGCGTAATAATAGAAATGTAGGAAAATAACTTTAAATTAGGATGATGATGACTGCCGGGCAATTTTGGAGCTCTCTGCAGTATTTCGCTTTTAGCTTGCTTATTGTAGAGTGAGAGATAGGATGGAGTTTACAGTAGATGAATAGCTTTAAGGAATTACAGAAATGATTGCAGTCTGAAGTATTCATCAGTGATGAGAAAAACAGATAAATTAGGAATACAAAAAAATTTATAGGAATACAATAGCTTTATAACTTTTATTAATTTTATGATGATGACAATCAAAATAATATGGAAATGAATGAGGAAAAACTGGATCCTATCACGTGATTTTCTGGCCAATAAAAATGCACGGACAACAATGGTAAACTGCTACACCATCATTAGATTTTTATGTATAGTAAGATACATTTTAAAATAATGTGAAGAAACTTCAGTACTTAACGTAAGAATGTTTATTATTAAAAATATAAAATATACATATAGGGTCACTATATGGGTTTTAATATTGAAAAAATTTTAATACTATCGAAGTACCGACAACTCTTTTTGATAGCATCGATACATCAAATCCATAGCAGACCTGAAAATAACCACTTCCCCACCCTCTGCGCGGCGAGTCAACAAAGAAAAGTGGCGACTTAAATTTAATAAACAAATGGTTACTTTTTTTTCATCGTTTTGTTTTTTATTTAATTTTTTAATTGCTTTATTGCGCATAGAATTTTCTTGCGCGGTGAAGTCAAGTCAGTCTGCTTAACTAAATTTTGTCGTATATTTATATTATTTTTATTGTTGAATTAACTTTTTATACCTGCAGATTATTTCTAATATGATTCTTTTCCATAAAGTATAATTTAATTCGTGTAAAAAATAAAAAGCAAAAAGTGACTATTAAATGAAAATGACCAATTGGTATTGGTCACCGACCTATTAGGTATGAGAAAAAAGTGTCTTCTAAGTTTTTAGAATCTACGGGCACTAAATGAAAATTTAAATGTATGTCTATCGACTGATTTCTTTCTATTGTATCAACAAAAAAATGACGACTATTTTTATAATAATACAACTAGCAATTTTAGCCAACATTCCTTGTATAACAGAGGTACTTTCTAAAATGTGGTCTCTAATTCATAATATTAGAATAATCCATTTTTCTCACTCGATGAATATAAAACAATTTTATGTGATTATTTTCTAATTAATATGTGCAAACTATATATTTTTGGGAGGAGTTTATTTCCAATAAAACTACAAATTTGCGTGTAGCATACAGCTTTAATTTATTTTCTTCTTGATTTCAATATACTAATTCGTGAGAGTCAAACTTTAACGCAATTGCAATTCTCGAAAATAATTAAAGACACTGAGATTTTTGTAATGATTTTTGGTTAATTGAACACGAGACTACATGAACCACATAAGAATCACCGTACTACAAGTTTCTTTTTTTTTTTATCTTGTTACAATTTTTCTTTTTCTGAATTGGTACTTTGTACATATCAATTTTTTGACATTTATTGCCATTTTCAAAGTTTGACGAAACCAAGAGAATAATTAATTTTACCTACATTATTATTATATAAGTGGTAAGCAAAATTTATAGATCATTATTTTTCTCTTAAGTTAGCAAGTAATAAATGACTTAAAATTAGTTTTTTTAATTCTTGTTGACTTTATGTTAATTAGACATAAAGAAATCTTTCCAATACCTTTCAAATTGTTCATTTGGTGGCACCTTGGAACTTGGAATTATACTTGTAGATTTTACTTTTGTACTAATCTAAAAAGGAAAACAATTGACACTAGAAAGACTGAAACTTAGTATATACCTATATTGCCCAAAAGCAGTCAAAATGACTGCTTTGTGAAAGAATAATTAATGTGAAAGAAAATTTGTTTAATTAATTTTTAATATTTTTATATTATTTACGTTATACAAGCTATTAGTTACATAACTTATTAACAATAAAAAAAATTACTTCAATTGGAAAAAAAATTTATGCATTATTATTTGTACATGCTTTTTCAATTGCATGCAATTAAAAAAGCAGTTAAAAAGCAGTCAAAATGGCAATCTAGTTCAATGGCAATCAAATCCTTGGGCAATCTAGTGTTAATTACAAGTAACTTGTAAATTCACATTGAAATTCCTCTCTTGATTAAATAGAACTGTAAGCTGATATTGTAAAATATCTTCTTAATTTTCTGGAAAATTCTTTCTTTGACTACAGCACACGAACGGGTATTCGGAAGGAGTTTTAAAATATAAAAGGACGACTGCTGTGCCTTTAGACGTCTATATACAAAATGTAATGCAAAATGTTTTAGAATTGGAAATTTGAGTAAGGAACGAACACCTATAAGCACTTCGTTTTATTTATATAGATGATGATAGTTTTTAGATATTCAATGACTTATGTCTTTAAAACACAATTAAATGATGCGATTTTTAAAAGGGTATGCGATTCTTAATGCGATTCTTAAGGACTTTTAACATCTTATAATATAAACAACCATTCATTATTTCTTTTTTATTTCAGGTGATTCATCAATGGTGAAAGCACAGTATTAGTTTTCCACCACAAAGCAGCAGCATTCTATGTAAAGAGAAATTTGTTTACACCCTGGAGAGTTTTTTTTTCAAAAGGAAGAGCGAAGTTTACATATATTTTAGCGATCTAAACCAAAATATTTATAAAAGAGAGTCGATATTTTAAATATTTTATAAAGTGCAATAACTATTTTAAAACTAGTAATACTTACGACAATCATTTAAAAAAAAAAGAAGAAAAAAAAGGGGGGTTGCAGCAGAATAAAATGATGTTGCATAAAATGAATGTAGAGACGACTCGTAACTGAACTGGATCACTCATGAGCATGAAAAGAAAATAACTCTCCTATGAACAGAATCAATCATGTGGATTTTCAATCGGTCCATAAGGAAAAAAAAACTTTGGAGTTAGAATGTGAGTGAAACCAACTTACACTCCCCACCCGCCCACCTTATCTCTCTCTCCCACATCCCTGATAAAACACAAACCATGCAGAACCTGATGAGAAAACAGTATTCCAGGGGAGAGTTGCCCGTGGGAGAAAAGATGGAGCTACGCGAACTGCAGGGTCGGCTTATCGTCAACAACGGAGACGTCAATCCTGGATATGGGTCTACTAACATCGCTTTCGACATGGGGGACGTCAGTCCTCAAAGTCGAATCACAGTCGACATGGTGTCAACAGTCGACAAATCCGAATTCAAACCAGAAAGTGACGACACCAGGGAATCGTGGGACAGCAAACTGCAGTTCATGCTGGCCACCATCGGATATGCCGTTGGTCTTGGAAACGTCTGGAGATTTCCCTACCTTGCACAAAAGAACGGAGGAGGTAAGATCTTACTCTGCACATTAACTACCTAATCTGCAGATTAACTTAATTTGCTCCTATAAAGTGTGGAATCAAGAATTTCCATACTTTAACCTGGTACTGAGCACAGTCCGTATCGCATAAGTTCAAAATATAGTCTCTCTCATTCTATAAGTTAATTGTTTTTTCTTGATATCGAAAAATGAATACATAACATTAAGTTAAGATTTTTAATGGGATACCTGCGTATGACGTTGTGTGGGTATCTCGATCCCGGTGACTTGTTGAAACGTGGCATTTGTTTACGTTAGCAACTGTACTTTCCGTTCTATTTCGAGTAAGCCAAGCTGCAAACTATCAATTCTCTTCAGTAACACATTCTAAATTCTTTCGCAAAGATTCGTTCTCAAAGATTTCAATTCCTTCCCTCTATATTTACACATAGACTTAACACAAGACAGGCATGAAGCCACGTAGAACATAAACTAATTTTGCATCGAAGTTGTCAGGTACACAAAACAAAAATATATCACGTTTACAATAAAATACATAAACAAGTAATAAAACTAAGTTAAGTATACGAGAAAAAATTTTATTTCAACAAATTCGATATGAAATACGGCTCTGCATTTAATCAACTTATCGTTCATTAACTTTTTAACTTATGTGGAGAAACTTGGCTCAACTTTAATACGCCACTTTGCCGATGAAGATCAGCTGGCTCTGACGTCATAGGTCACATGTGTAGGTATGGGAAGTCTTCTTCTTAAAGTGCAAGTAGCCAATTGTAGTAATATTTTAAACCATTGTATTATAGTTTTTAAAGAGATGAGTGATTCGATCAACCAATCAGTTGATTGTAGTCACTTGACTTCTTAGATAGTTGTTGTTAATCTACGTCGCACTAGAGCTGAACAATGGGCTATTGGCGACGGTCTGGGAAACATCCCCGAGGATGATCCGAAGACATGCCATCGCAATTTTGATCCACTGCGGAGGGGATGGCACCCCCGCTTCGGTAGCCCGACGGCCTGCGCGCGAAGTCGAGCACTTTACGGTAGCACAGTTTAACGAGGACCAATACCGCACACCCTCGGTCCCTACGCAGACTGATCCAAGTGGTCACCCACCCGCACACTGACCGTAGTCAGTGATGCTTGACTTCGGTGATCTGTTGGGAACCGTGTCTTAACGATCAGTCCACTGCGGGACCTTTTTAGATAGTGAAAAATAAATAAAAAGCATTTTGTTAATTTAAGCAAACAGAAACGTTGAGGTTATTCTGGTAAAGACCATATTTTCTCACTTAAACAAGTGTCTCAGAAAATGTGAACATTATCTAGGTTGTTTGCAGATTATCTAGCTAATTTGAGGAGTAATATATTTTTTTTTTTGGTAATTTAATGGATTAGCCTAGTTAGTCTACGTACCAGCAAGATATTCTTAAGAATAATTGATTTCTACACTTCTGCAGTAGCATAAATATGAAGGTTATCGCACTTTTCGCAAAGGCGAAGTTTTAACATCAAACTAATCTATGGGATCGTTTCTATAAAAGTACTTTCCAAGTCATCGGAACTCCTAGTTACCTCTAGAATACAGATCTAAGCATAAAAACGTGTTACCGCATGCACATAAAAATCAAGGCGTGTAAAATGCTGTCTTGAACAATTTTTAAAATGTGGCTTATTATTCTATTTCTCTAGAATCTAATCTATCGAAATAAAAATCAAACAATAGATTCAAGATACATAAAGTCTTTAATTTGAGATAGATAATAAAACATTTATTTCCTAACTGCAATTATACATCGCTTTATCAAGTAAATAGTAATCTTCTTTAAAGTGCAGAATAGCAACTAAATCATTCATAGTTTGTAGCTTAGATTTGAACTAGTATTTTTCACCATTGCAATAAACCTGTGTTAAACTGGGTTATTTGAACCTGCCGAAATTTATTTAAAAAAATGGTGTTGCTTGCAAAAACTCGGATTTTTCAATAATCCTGCGACGTATACATTAACGCAGAGAAACAATTTTACTGGAGAATAATAACTTTAACTTCGTTACCTCTCAATCTTTCAGAATGGCGAATAACATTGTAGTAAAACAGTTTCACAGGAATAAACTGGAAATTTTTAGAAAGGCAGTCAGATTCTTCCTTTATAAACTTTATTTGTATAGTTGGCATCGTTGCAGTAAATAAATTTTACAGGGGATAACATTACAGTACATATAATTGATCTTTTTCGTGCTCTTTCTGCAACGCAAGCATCATTGCAGTGAAAGAATTGTACAGGATATAACTGTGAAATTAAAAAATTCAGTCATCTCCTTAATTTGTTCTCTTTTTGCAACGCAAGTATCGTTTTGGGGAAATAACTTTAAAAGACATAACCGTGATCTTAAAAATGCAGTTAATTTCTTCCTTTGTAAACTTTATTTGTATAGTTGGTATTATTGCACTGAAACATTTTATAGGAGATGATAACACAGTTTATACAATTGTTCCTCTAACACATTTCCTACAAGGCAAGTATTATTGCGAGAAATAATTTTACAGGACAATTTTGTGAACTTAAAAATGCAGCCAACTGCTAAATTTTTAATTTTATTTTATTATTATGTTTTTGCTGTGAAGTTAGTATTACTGCAGTGAAACAGTTTTACAACAGATAGGAGGATAATTCATACTATTGTTCCTTTTTGTGCTCTTTCTGCAACGCAAGTATCATTGTGGGAAAGAAGTTTTACAGGACAAAACCATGATCTTAAAAAATGCAGTAACTGCTTTATTTGTACTTTTTATTTGTTTGAATAGTATCATTGTTGTGAAGCAGTTTTACGGCAGATAACAACACAGTTCATAAAATTGATCTTTTTTGTGCTCTTTCTGCGATGCAGGTATCGTTGCGGTGAAATAATTTTACAGGACGTAACTATGAACTTCAAAAAGTCAATCATCTCCTTAATTTGTACTTTTCATTTGTTCAGTTACTTTTATTGCAGTGAAACAGTTTTTCTCCTGATAACAACACAATTCACACTTTTTTGTGATCATAGCAGGGTCATTCTCACTGAAAAGGTATAAATAGACTAAGAAAATTTCTTAAATTAAAGTATTTATAAAGGATAAAAATTACATAAATGCCTTTATTTATTTTTGTTATATGTCCTTATAATAATGGTCAAGCTTTCTATTTTATTTTTTACAAGATTTAAAATATTTTAAATTCTGCCTTGTCCACGGAGGAGATATTTTA